CACAATTCATAAACATGTGACCTATCTATTTAGTGATTCAGGTTTCTTTATCCACATGATCACCAAGGCAATAATTAGCCCCTGTTTGATGCCCATTATTTCTCCATTAAAATGAAAAATATGACCGTTATCCATCACATCAAGCCACCAAATTTGAATTTTTATCTCTTGTGTGGATCCCATAACGGCTATATTTTTCATTCTCATTTTTACAAAAATGTTAAACAAACGCTCCCTTAAATTGAGGAAGACGAATAATCAAGAGTAGTGGGTGTAATGTGTGTTAAGTGTTTCTTTCTGAAAATATTCGTTGTTGGGGCGTTCTTTTAACTATCCATGAAGGGAAACAAGTATGAAAGTGACATTGAATTTGTACATCTGCCATGATGGCTTTTTTTGGGCATTGTCAATTATTTATTGGGCGAACAGTAAATTGGACCACAAATTTTGGACAGCAGAGCTCAACTCTTCTTTTGTTCTGGAGTTGTATGTATCTGCTGTAATGATTGGGGTATAACAAAAGGAGTTTGCAGTGGTAACTGTGTCTTTTATTGCAGATCAAACTGGCATCTGTTAAACTGGCCATGAAGTATATGAAGAGAGTATCTGCAGAGCTCGAATTTGTTAGTGGTGTTCCGGAAGAAGAAGAACTTATAATTCAAGGCGTTAAGTTTGCATTCCGAGTACATCAGGTAAAGTTTATATCTGCATATATACAAAGATCGCCCACTTATTTTGCTTTCTACAACAATAAACTAAGCTTTGTTCAGGGGAAATGTATAGTCAGCTACTTATTTTGCTTCTCGTGTGGGCTCTTTTTTGGTCTTCAGTTCGCGGGTGGTTTTGACGTGGAAACAATGAGAGCATTTCAAGAACTGAGAGACAAGGCTCGATCGTGCAATGTGCAGTGCCAAAATCAGCAACAGAAAATTATTTTCAGGTCTTCTACAGCTTTCTAATCTGTAACAAATTAAACTTAGTTACAGGAATACTGCCATTTTTGCTGTTAAGTACTATAAAGATCGAGTTGTGAAATACAGTGTGCAGAGATTATACGTTCATATTAATTTATTAATTATAAGTTTTAACTTATTCTATCAATATTGAACTCACGATAGTCTCCAAACTTAATGTGAGTTGTAACATATCCATCAAGTCCAAGTGGAGAGCACGAACTCGACTTTGTCAGCTACAAATGAAGTGCTAGCTGGTCATTTTGGTAATAGAGATTAAGTAGTAGGATCAACAATCAACAATCAACTGCCTAACTATTTTATTCATTGTGTTAGCGAGCAAGCAATTTTCCCAATTTAAGATTTACATTTCTTAAACGTGTATGAACAGTTTTCAGTCAATTCAATACACAGAGGGGGGCATAATGCCTTACCCCGAAGGATTTGCATCCAACTAAAGAGAATATAGTATATTGAATCAGCTTTTAAAATTATAAACACCTATAAATTGTGTTATGATATGTGGGTTACCTCACTATTTCTTCCTGGCCCAATGGACTTAAATATGGACTTGGACCATTATGTTTTTATTTCTTGGTTATGAAATCGTATTTTGGAGAAAAAACGTGTTTGCCTCTTTAATGGTTAAGGATCAGCCGTCCACGTGGCTTCATCCTAACCCATGGATAATGATGGTTGACTATTCAGATACTTAACTTGGTTTTGGCCCTCATGCTGGAGGATTCGATGCTTTATGTCCTTTAGCCTTTTTTCTCCTTTTTTCTCTGAGTGAAAGATTAGGGTTTTCTCTTTACTGCAAATTCAAAATATTCTTAGTGATTTCTCAATTTGTATTCTTAGAGATAGTCTCTAAATGTTTTGTACAGTCCATTAGTGATTGAGAGGGTTTTGGTTACGGTTTGTATAGAGGTGAAAGGAAACTCGAAGAAACTCTTAGTTTCTTCATACATATTGTACTATTCTTGGTTAATACTTAGTGGATCTTGAGCTATATCACATTTGGTGATGCTCAACGGGTGATTAGGTTGCAAGACTGAACACCCAAACCTTTTTTAGAGTAAAATATATCTTCATGTTCGATTTTTCCATTTTCTACAAATTTGCTTTTACTGCAAAAGTGAATCGATCCTTTAAAATCTTATTGATTTGGCTTAACGAATTGTCTCGTCTAAAATCTTAAACTGTGGGAAACGTAGGATACATAGCAATGCCACACATTCCTTCTTTGGCAGCAATATCTCTTTGAATCCTGATGAACCCATTTTCTCCCCATTTTGGACCCCAAGAATTCTTGAATATCCAATACTTAGTACCATCTTCACTTGTACCATATCCAACTGCTGTGATAGCATGAGTTAGATGAGTTCCACAATTTCCCGTTAAAATCCCACTCTTGTAGAACCGCATTTGAGTCGGGTCGATTCTAACACTTACAGGTTGATTAGCCACAGCCATAAGAAGTGCTGTCTCATTATTCATAGGTACACTTTGATGGCCAGTTATCATTGCTGGAAGAGAGGATGGCTTTTTGGGGCTGCAAGTTCCTTCTTTAGCCCGGTAAGGATAGTCGGTGTCCGAGTCGAGTCCATGATTCTGCGTGGCGAATTCGAAAGCATGCTCCATCCAGCCACCTTTGCAGCTGTCTGTAGTAGTCATGCAGTCTAGTAGTTGTTGCTCAGATAGTGAAACTAACTTTCCTGTTTTGATTTGAGAAATGCCTTCCATTGCAGCCACGGCTGAAAACGCCCAGCAACACCCTGTGTATTATATATGGTCATTATTAATACGTTTAATTAGTAAATAATGGAGGAAAACATGATAGTTGAAACACATAGTAAACACATGAGCATGTTTGGTAAGAGACTGGATAATAATTATCTTATGTATTTGGGGCCAACTCGACCCATCTACAAGGCTTGATCTACAGGCTCTTTCATGTATTTTAACATAGTTTTTCTTTTTTTCCCCTTTTTATTTCAATACAGGGCTGTCTTGACCAGCCCATGAGTCACGTGCCCCTTTAATTGAGCTTGACCCAACTCTTAATGTAGGCCAGCATAGCATGGCTAATGATGGATCCAAGAATTTAGGTGAACATGGGTGGATACAAGTGAATATAGAAGAAAAGCTGTAGTTCAAGTTAGCGTGGGTGGAATCAAGTGAGCATGGACAGCCATTCCAATATAAGGGGGGGGGAATAAAATTCGACGAAGCCAGCAAGTAAGCACGGGCAGCCGCAGGGGCTCACCAGGTGGTAGCTCTGCCCCTAAGCATGGCATGACACATTTGACACCACTCGTCTAGTTTTGTCAAGTTTCGTGAGCAAATAAGTCCATATATATAATTTAGATGGCTAACCACATCCTCCTTGGTTCTCGACCGCTGTAACTGCCCCTTTGTCTCTCCAGTCAAGGCTACTTGCTACACCTTTCACATTTCCATACATGAACGGGGTCTTTGATGATCTCTTAAAGGATGGTATTTTGGCTCCAGTACATTTCGCAACGAATTCTTCATTAGTTAAGTCTGCAAATTCATTGATTCCGAGCTTGTATTTGTTCTTGCCAGCTTTGTTGAACCTTTCTATAAACTCTACATTATCTTTGAATACCTTAAATCTCTTCGACTTCTCTTCGTTGCTCTTGTAAGTGCGTTTATGTTGAGCCATCCATTGCTCATGCTTTGTCAACATTTCATCATTATAAGATAATCGCGAAGTCGCCTGGTATGACAATGCTGCAAAAGTAAACAAAAAAATGAGAAAACAATTTTGTCCAAGAGAAGCCATTGTATAGGAAATATTGTGTGATCTTGCAATGCAAACAAAGGATGCCTTCCCTTTAAAATGTCGATCTCTATATATAGAGTTCAGAGTTCAAATGCATTAAAAGCAAATCAGGCCATCAAGATTATTCATAAATTCTTATTCATAATAAAAATTAGAAAGAATTAAAAGAAGATATTTGTTTGTGCGCTATTTAGGATCAATTTTTATTCATCATTTATGATTCTCTCTAAATATTTCTTGAATCTCATAATACAAGTTATGTTTATTCCATATTAATAATGCCATCAAGATTATTCATAAATTCTCATTCATAATAAAAATTAGAAAGAATTAAAAGAAGATATTTGTTTGTGCGCTATTTAGGATCAATTTTTATTCATCATTTATGATTCTCACTAAATATTTCTTGAATCTCATAATACAAGTTATGTTTATTCCATATTAATAATGCTTGGTCATCCCATATTAATTTTTGTCACATCTCCTAATTTAGGCCTAATTTGTTTCAGAACAAAAAATTCCGAATAGCAAATGATAATCAACTTCTCTTATTGAAAGATGGTTTATTCCTTCCATGGCTGCAACAGCTGAGAATGCCTAGCAACGTCTTATAATTTTTGAACAAATATTTAGTTAAACAACAAATTTGATGCTAGAATAAGAAATTCAAAAAAATAAATTGTCATTTACCTGCAAGGAAAGACCAGAATTGTTATGTACATTTGTTCAAACCATACCCGATGCTACCAAAAATCATACATGCTGATTTTTTGAGCTTGAAGACTTTGAATGAGCACGATCATAGTCTTCCGATTCTTGAAACAAAGGCAAAGAGGTGTGTTCTCGTCATCCCTCCAATCCTTAAGTCAAAAAGGAAATTATATGCATGATGCTATAAACTGGAGAATAATGAAAACGTATCTGAATAATGATCCATGATTCTGTATTTATAGTAGTAGGTGACATTCTTCTAGTGGGACTCAACTAGCTGGGTATCTCTATCCAATAGAGTCCTATTAGGTGAAGAAGTTGGACCAATGCAATGATTATGTTTAGGATAGAATCCTTGCAGGAGTCAAGTATTGAAGTAATATAGTAGAGTTAGAGTCCCAAATACATAGGAATCCTAATGGGTCGGTAATAACAATCGGGGGATTCGAGGAGAATTTATCTCGAGGACCACTCTTGCTCGATGACAAGATTGTGGAAATGAGGATACAACAAGGCTATAAGTACTCGAGCATTATATCTCGGGGAGGGTAATGTTCGAGCCCGAGATATAATGCTCGAGCACAATAGGTGGAATTGCAAGGGTCTCTGAGAAATGTCCTCGGGGATAAATGTTCGAACATAACCAAAAATTGCCATATCAGTACCCAAAACACTAATCGAAGGCCTTGAAGGCAGAAAAATTGGAGGGCGTTTTCAAGAATAAAGGAAAAGGACTATATAGTATTTGTCTCTACCTCAAATATTATATCATCTTATTGAGAGAGAGAGACCAATTGAAGCTCAAGTTCCAAAAATATAAACCAAGAACAATGTACACCTCTATCTAGAATACGTTTTAAAAACAAATCATGCAAAATAAAATTAAAATAATTTTTACTAACTTCTCAATCGCTCATTTCATCAATTTTTTATCAAATTTTACTAAAAATCTTAATTTTAGCTAAACAAAAAAGGGTCTAACTTACAAATACACCATATCCATGTCGTTTGAATCCCCATACATCCTAAGTGATGACTGAATCAACTAAACATCTATTTGATCTCCATTAAAATTTCAATTCATTTTTTTCTATCTTCTTATCAACCACATATTTTTCAATAAAATAATATTACAAGTAAATTCAAAATTTTCTTTCTTACATATATTCTCTAAATACATTTTTCCCAAAATCTCATTAAAATGGATGCCAAACAACGGCTAAATCAAAGCATCCAAATTCAAGTAATATGATATTATAAATATGTAAAAAAGGAAAATGTGAATTAGCCTTCTTTTGTCATAAGCAATTTTTCTTTTCTAATATGAAAAATTATAAAATGCAAGTATCAAATGCATTTTACGATATCGACTTGATGGGTGACTTCAAAACAAGTATTTAATTCAAATCTTTCTAAACAACAAAATGCATAATAACTTGGATTGATGTACAATTAATAAAAACTAATTGCTTTTCCAAAAAATATTAATTGAACAATATCTACTTGATATATGGTTTGTAACAGGAAAAACCCTGAAGGGAGGATGGGAGATGAATCAAGGCAAGATGACTATTATCTATTTTGGAAAGATTTTCTAATAATGTCGTTCTGACTTTATAAGATTTAGGAAGAATTTGCTCGAGTCATGAATCAAGAATAGAACAAGAATTTAGAAGGGACCGATCACAGGGATGGAGGTCGAAATGGCTGGTCGACCCCGTAGCAATGCATGCTGCAGTGCAGCCTGTTCAGTTGAGCATGTACCTTTGTATATGTTCATGGTTTCATCCACTTTTTGGTTCCTCTTCACTCCAAATTGGTTATGTAATTGAAATTTGAATTGTTATGACTCTAATGAAGAGACGTAATTCTTGCAAAATTATGTTATTACAATGTGATGCATCAGAATTTTTGGTATGCTCAAACACATTATCACAAGGACTTTCCTCAGGATTCCTTTGCAATCCCACCTGTAGTGATCGAGCATACACTCCCCCGGGGGTGTAGTGATCAAGCACTTTTAGTCTTGCTTCTTCAACATTTTATGATCCATGTCCTCGAGCATGAGTAGTCCTCGGGTATATGTTCTCCTCATAGCCTACGATTGTTATTATTGACCCTTTAGAATTCCTATGTAATTGGGACTCTAACTCAACCATATTACTTTGAAACTTGACTCCCACAAGGATTCTATCCCAGACATAATTATGGCATTGGTCCAATTCCTTCACCTAACAGGACTCCGCTGGATACAGATACCCAACTAGTTGTGTTCCACTAGGAGAAGATCGCTTACTACTGTAAATATAGGACCATGGGTCATTGATCAGGTACGTTCTTATTATTTTCAATTTATAGCCTTGCGCACATAATCCCCTTTCTGATTTAAGCATCGGATGGACGACGAGAACATACCTCGTTACCTTTTTTCAGGTATCGAAAGACTACGATCGTGCTCATTCAAAATCCTCAAGCTCAGAAAATCAACAGGTACGATTTTTTGTAGAATCATTGGCACTGTCTATGGGAAGCGCTACCAAAAGCCATGGTTAGCACACGATCAGGACTTTATCCTGCAAGCTCATCCACTCCCATCCCTCATCCTGCTGAAGATAACTGGCTCATCAAGAAGAGTCCTCAGAAGTGCCTGCACCTCAGTCAGCAATCGTCACAACTGAAGCCTTCAAAGAGCTTCGTCAGTAGGTGGTCACACTAACGCAGCTGTTAAGTCAAAGAAATTCTCATCCGTCACCGGTGCAAGTAGAGCACGGTGGTTTTATGGTTAATGCTCGAGCTTGAGCACCAAACCCTGCAAAAGGTGGAGTACGGACCTCGGGTATTCGTCACATGGCCTCAGTCTCGAGATCGGTTGCTATAGATTTCGAAGAAATTACCCGGATCATTCAGGAAGGAATTACGGCTGCCCTGCAACGGAATGCTCGGAGGCCAATAGGTTTTATCCCTAACACTCCATTCAAGCTGGAGATATTGTCATATCTCCTGCCCGACAGATTCAAATTTCCTCGCATTAAGGAGTATGATGGGACGACTGATCCAATTAATCATCTCAATGTATAAACTGATGTCATGAATTTTCAAGTTGCGCTGGATCAAGTTATGTGCAAAGCCTTCCCGCAAACACTGACTAATGCTACTAGGGATTGGTTCTCAACATTTGAGCCTAACTCCATAGCCTCATTCTTAGATTTGGCTAATAAGTTCTCAGCCTTCTTTGCAAGTAGCAAACGTATCAAAAAGACTGCGGCCTCTCTCATGAAACTTCGCCAGGGACCAAATGAAACCTTACGAGAATTTATGACAATGTTTAACAAGAAAAGACTTCAAATACCTGACATTTAAATTACGGCGGCAGTTTCCACCCTCCCCTATGCCATAAGGTGTGAAGCCTTCAAAATGTCCCTATCAAAGAACCCATTTGTGACTGAGCTCCTTACACGAGCTAAAAAATACATTAATATGGAAGAAACGCTGAACCCAAGAAGACCTAGTCTTTCTTATGAAAGGGGCGAGAATAAGAGACAGCATGACGTCACCTCCCGACCCGAGCATCCTCTAGACAAGTGCAAGAGCGAAGGGTCATCAAGGCCTCTCACCAGGTTGAACACAACCAAGGAAAACATTTCGATAGAGATCAAGGATATGAAAGGGTTGAAGTGACCTTCAAGGATGAAGTCGTCCCCTAACAAAAGAGATAGGAGCAAGTATTGTGAATTTCACCGAGATTATGGGCATACCACAAAGGATTGTCAAGCTTTATAGTGAAAGATTGAAGCCCTCATAAAAAGAGGGCTCTTAAGAAATTACATTGGTCATGATAATGCCCGAGAACCGTGACAATCGGAATGAGCCCGGAGCAGGAAGCAATACTCAATCCACTGCTGGGACCATTAATAATATCATTGAAGGCATAGCATCTAGAGAAGACACAAACAGTGGGCAAAAGCAGTATGCCCACCGACATGCTCATACCCCAAGGGAACCCCGTGATGAAGTCAAGAACATTACCTTCGGGGCAAGAGATTTGGAAGGAGTATCATATCCTCATGACAATACCTTGGTGGTCTCTGCAATTGTGGCTAACTTCGAAGTAAAAAATATCCTGATCGATAATGGAAGTGCAGCAAATATACTATCACAGGAAGCTTTTGCTAAGATGGGGATCTTTCCCAAACAGCTCAAAACAATCAAAACTCCTCTACAGGGATTTGATGGTGGAGTCATTATCCTGGAAGGAATCGTCAAGCTTCCGCTCACTTTGGGTTCTGACAATGCCCAAGTGACGGAGATCACACCCTTCCAAGTGGTTAACACTCCTCTGGCTTACAACATCATTCTGGGAAGACCCCTACTGAACAAGATCCAAGTCATTGTATCAGCTTTCCACCTAGCCATGAAGTTCCCAACAGGTCATGGCATCGGAGTAGTTTGAGGAGACCAAACAGCTGCTAAACAGTGCTATGTTACTAGCATCCGAGGAATGAGTACAGACGTCATTCAACTTTCAGACCTCGAGCTCGAGCCAAAAGGTAGACTTGCCCCGGTTGAGGGATTGAAAGTGGTCGAGCTCGAGCATGGAAAAATAGTAACTATTGGTCGGGATCTCAAGACCAGCCTCTGAGAGGAAGTCATCAATTGCCTGTCCCATGACATTGATGTTTTTGCATTGAAGGTCGAGGATATGCCACGGATAGACCTCGAAGTAGCGGTCCATAGGCTGAACATAATTCCAAGGGCTAAACCTGTTAAGTAAAGGAAAAGACAATTTACGCCAGAAAGATGTGTAGCCATTCAGGAAAAGATCGACAAATTCGTGAGAGCAGGGTTCATAAGGGATGTCCACTACCCCGATTGGCTCGCTAATGTTATTCTTGTGAAGAAGGCTAGTGGCAAATGGAGGGTCTACATCGACTTTACAAATCTCAATAAGACATGCTCCAAAGACTGTTACCCGCTCCCCAGGATAGACAATCTTGTGGGTAGCACGTCCAAACATAAGTTGTACAGCTTCTTAGATGCATTCTCAAGGTATCATCAAATCCTCATGGCCAAGGAAGACCAAGAGAAGACTTCATTCATGGCTGATTCAGCCATATATTGCTACAAGATGATGTCGTTTGGGTTGAAAAATGTTGAGGCAACCTATCAAACGCTCATCAACAAAGTCTTCGCTGATTTGATAGGGAAGAACATTGAGGCTTATGTTGACGATATGGCGGTAAAGAGTCAAAAGGTAGAGCAGCACATATCCGACCTTGAGGAAGTGTTTGCCACCCTACAAAAGTATCGGATGAAGCTCAACTCAGAGAAGTGTGTATTCGGTGTGGCTTCGGGAAAATTTTTGGGTTTCATGATCACTCATCGGGAGATCGAAGCAAACCCCGATAAGATACAGGCCTTGGCCACAATGGAATCGCCCAGGACTAAGAAAGAGGTTCAAAAGTTGACAGGTAGGGTAGCAGCCCTAAACAGATTTATGACCCCAAGCAGCAGACAGGTGCTTCCCTTTCTTCAAATCTCTCAAAGGTAGTCAAACCTTTGAATGGAATGAGGAGTGTGAGAAGGCTTTTCATGAGCTCAAACAGACATTTACATCTCCTCCTATCCTCTTTCTAAACCAGAGCCCGGGAACACTTTGTTGTTGTACTTGGCCGTGTCACAAAACGCAGTGAGCGACATCTTGGTGAAAGAGGTAAACAGAGCCCAGTAGCCTATTTACTATGTAAGTAAAGTCCTACTTGATGCAAAGACAAGGTACACTTTAGTCGAGCAGCTTGCCCTAGCCCTGATAGTGGCAGCATGAAAGCTTCGGCAATATTTTCAGTCTCATCCCATTGTAGTGCTCACTAATCAGTCTCTGAAACACATCCTTCAGAGGCCAGACGTCTCAGGCAAGTTACTAAAGTGGGAAATTGAATTTGGAGAGTTTGACATAGAGTTCAAACCCCGTTCGTCCATCAAAACCTAAGCTTTAGAAGATTTCATTGCAGGACTCACCCGAAGGCCTCGGGGGCCAGATGGTAGCTCGAGCACTACAACAGATGCTTCGCAAATTTTCGTGGATGGAGCATCGAACTCCTCGGGCTTGGGTGCCAAGGTCATCATCACAAGCCAGAACATGCTCACAGACATTCAGTGTGCACTCAGGTTCGAATTCGAGGCAACCAATAATGAAGCAGAGTATGAGGCTGTCATCATAGCCATGGAACTTGCCATAAATCTCGAACTTGAAAGCGTCAACATCTTTAGTAATTCCCAGTTGGTGATTGGCCAGATTAACGGTACATTCGAGAAGAAAGACGAGAAAATGAGCTTGTACTGCTTAAAAGTTCATGATCTCCGACGGAGATTAAAGAGTTGTGAAATTCTGAAGATCGATCCAGATGACAACTGCAAGGCAGATGCCTTATCAAGGCTAGTGTTCATGAGAGTAGATAGACTTGATAGGACAGTACATGTCAAATTTTTGACCGAGCCTAGCATCAATCCAACCATTGGGGTCATGGATATTGATCATGAGCTGTCATGGATGGACCCAATTGTGGATTTCATAACAAATGGCAATCTTCCAGAAGATCCTCGAGCAGCAAGAAGCATCCATTCCAAAGCTCCAAGGTATTGCATTATCAATGGGGTCTTATTTCGTAGAAGCCTTACACTTCCATATCTTAGGTGCCTTAAGCCTTCGAAATCTTCCCAAGCCCTAGAAGAAGTTCATGAAGGAATATGTGGGAACCATCAAGGAGCTCGGGCCTTGGCCTTTAAGCTCATAAGGTATGGATATTACTGGCCTACCATGAAGAAGGATGTCGTAGAATATGTAAAGAAATGGGACAAGTGCCAGAGATTTGGCAATGTTATCCACTCTTCTGTCGAGGACCTCACCAATATCAGTTGCTCGGCCCCATTTGAGCAATGGAAAATGGATATCCTTGGACCGTTTCCGATAACGAGGGAACAATTGAAGTTCGTAGTTATAACAGTTGAGTACTTTACCAAGTGGGTGGAGGCCAAGCCCTTGGTGATGATCTCGAAGCCCAAGATAAGAGCTTTTGTTTGGAGTTCCATCATATGCGGGTTCGAGATATCGAAGGTCCTCATAACTGATAATGGCCGACAGTTTGACAATGCATAATTCAAGGATTTCTACTCCAACCTAGGGTTTGACCACCATCTGACATCAGTTTCTCATCCCAGGCCCAATCGGATTATATTACAAAACCTCCAAACAAGGATTGGCTATGCAAGGGTTCTTGGTCTGACGAATTGCCCTCCATACTTTGGACTTACAGAACATCCCACAGGACTGTCACTGCAGAGACCCTCTTCATGTTAGCTTTCGGAATCAAAGCTACCATTCCCATTGAAATAAGGTTACCCAGTCAAAGAAGGCTTGATCTCGAAGAAACAGGGCGCACCACTGAACATCTCGACCTCTTGGAAGAAGTTCGTAATCAGGCAGCCTTAAGAATGGCTTCTTACCAGGACAGAACAACAAAGTATTTCAATAGAAAAGTAAGACCGCGAAGATTTGGAGCCGGAGATTTGGTGATGAGAAAGGCTGAAGCCACTGGTCATATTCCGGGAAAACTCGGGCCAGTTTGGGAACGATCCTTTGAAGTCATATGACAGCTATCAGGAGGTGCATATAGTTTGAAGGACACTTCGAGAAGACCACTGCCAAGGCCATGGAATGCCGAAACCTTAAAAGTATATTACAAGTAACCCACTCCACCATGTTTTAGAAATAAGGCTTACGTGCCAAGTCAATTTTTTTCTCTTTCAATAAGGCCTTTGTGCCAAGTTTATTTTTCGACCTACGTGCCAAGTCAATTTTTTTTAATAAGGCCTAAGTGCCAAGACAATTAATATAATATATTACAGTTAAATTTAAATTCGATGATCTACAAATCAAATCATTGTCCTGAGCAAGCAACTCAAGCCTTGCCCTGCGCAAGCAACTTAGGCCTTGCCCCAAGCAAACAAATCAAAGCCTTGTCCCGAGGAGAAACTCAAGTCTTGCCCTGCGCAAGCACATATTAGATACCAATCAGGGCAGACAATCCCAAGTAAAATTTTCGATCACATAGAATCCCGAGCACAGACGTAATGAAACTTATAAAAAAGGCCCGGATTGTCCTCGAGGATTTAGCTCGGGAATCATACATCATAGGTCGAGACTACCCTTGACCTCAAGAGCAAGAGAACAAAGGTCAGTCATCAAAGGTAATAAACTTGAGCTTATATAATTTGAGCATCCGATCCATGCTCGATCTGCTTAAAAAATCTTCGGGATAAGGACCCAAGGTTAAGGTCAAGCATTAATTACAATTGAGTCCTTGAGATAATTTTCATATTAAGGAATGACCCTAAGATCGAGCTTTAATTACAATTTTTATCTTACAATTTAGTCCTCGAGATAATTTCCATATTAAATAATGATCCTAAGATCGAGATATTACCTTAATATGAAACATCATATGGATTATGTCATCAAGATTTTTGAGCAGTTTACAATCCACATTCAGTCGTTGGGATGCATGTTAAAAGCTCGAGATCGTTGTCATGATCGAGTTCATTACTTGGTAAAATTCCTAAACTAAGCCATCGAGATATGATCTTAATGAAATATCGATGTTTGTTATTGAGCACAATGGAAAACAGACAATGCAGTAAAATCGAGCATTCATTTTAAAAATATTCTTTTCAAAAAGGCCCGAAGATAAGGTCGGGCAATGTACATTACAAAATTCATAGGGGTGGGCTTGGGATATCCTACTCTTGGTTCTCATCTCCGAGAGCAGCGTCATCCTCCTAGAACGATCTTCATCGTCGGCCGCTCCATTGACGGTGTTGTCAGAATCAGATAGCTCGAGGGTGTAGACTATCTCGAGGATCATCTTGAGCTCTTCAGGGACGACCTCAGGCATCTTCATTCTGATGAAAGCTCGAGCTTCCTTAAGACCATGAAGGTAAGAGCTTAAGGCATTCTCACCCTTCAGCTTATCCATCTCCTCGGACCTCTTCAAGTCCTCGATGGCAGAAGACCAAGCATCTTCAATTCGGGCGTCCATGTCCTTCTTCAGCTGTTGGAGCTCGAGCTTCAGCTCCTCAACCTCATCCTTAGCAATGCCCACCTCTTCCCGAGCTTTCCTAAGCTCGAGCTTTGCACTATCCCTCTCTTTCAATAGCTGAGCTCGAGCATTCTCAGCATCGAAAAGCTTTTTATCTCGAAGCTCAACAGCCTCGACCAGTCCTGCCACCATGTGGGACTCATCCATCTCTTGTAGTGAAAGTCCTCGGGCAACTCTAAGAGTCTGGTAATCAAAAAAGAAAAAGCTTAAGAGCGGGAAAATCACATTACAAATTATTACTTGAACTTGGAGACTTACCTTCAGAGTAAGGGACTCGAGGGCTTTCATCCCCTCATCAAACCCTACATCTCCTCGATATTTTGCCATGATGCTCGGGACTAGGTGGAATCGTTCAAAATCCTCGATGATCGAGGCCACCGGAGGCATGGAGTCGTCCTCGAGATCAATAACCTCGAGGGGTACCCGAGGAGGAAATGGCTGTGGAGGCCTAGGTGATGGTCGGGATGAGTTTCCTTGGCGACGTTGAGGACTGGGATTGGGACTGGGAGCTCGAGGCCTTGAGCTCGACGATTCACCCGACCCTCGTACAGGGGCATATGTTGTATATTCCCGGGGTCTTTTCTTCCCATTCTTCTAGCCTGGAACCCTGACCTAGGGTTCCTTGGATTTTGAGCTTACTGCTCGACGTAGAGCTGATAGATCAAAAGACATCTCTGCAAAAATCTCCAAGTATTAGGCAAGAGCACATGATCGAGAAAAAATGAATAAATCGACAGAAGAATAAATATCCTACCCTCGAGGCCTTTGGCACATGCAAGGTCAAGGATGTCATCCCCGAGAATATCATCTATATCATACACCAAGGGCTCGAGATCCTCTAGCATCTGTCGATCCCTCTCTAGAGTTTCGAAGTAGGCCTGTCCCTCACAAAATTTTGCTGTGTCCGGGATATTCCACAAAGGCCAAAAAGGAAGATCGGGATCCCAAGCTATAACATAAAACCACTTATCCTTCCACCCCTTCAATGAACTAGGCATCCTCAGGATCCTAAATGAACCTCGAGAAGAAAGATAGGCAAAACATGTAAAGCTAGGGAGCTGTTTAAGCTCGAACACCATCCTATAAAGGTCGAGATATGGGGTGATTCCTAGGTATCTACAGGCGATGAACAAATAGATGAGCATTCTCCACCTATTGGACACTAATTACCCTGGGCACACAGAATGCTCGATATATGGGTAATTAGATTCAGTTGTAAGGACATGATTTTCGATAATGAACTCAAAAGCATCGTCCATTAGACCTCCATTACATCCTTGATCTTCACTTATATCACAATCCACGAGTTCTTGTTCGGATAATGAAATCAATTTTCCTGTTGAAAGCTGGTTGATTCCTTCCATAGCTGCAACAGCTGAGAATGCCAAGCAACATCCTATTGTATTTTTCCAAGTTTAAGGATTCAGTGTCCAAGGAGGGTAAGGATAACTACATATATCTCTACAAAAAGGAAAATAAGACTCATCACATTGGTCTTGGTCCTTAACACCAATAACAGCTCCCTTCTTTCTCCAATCCTTTCTTGTTGGAACTGCAGTCTCATTTTCATACCTAAATGACAACGCCTTAGTTGACTTTTGGTAAGAGCATATTTTGTATCCATTACGAGATGCCTGAATCTTCTCGTTGGTCAAATCTGCAAATTTATTGATAACAAGCTTGTAAGGCCGAGTCCCCGCTTTATTAAAAGATTCAATATACTCCACATTCTCCTTCAATATTTTGTATCATGTAGCCTTCTGGATTATCCTTATACATGCGTCCATATGGTGCAATGATCGGAACCGTGGCTTGAGACTCCCACATCTCCAACACTAGAATTGCAACGAAAACAAGCTTCCAACTGCAAGTTGAGGCTATATTCTTCCAAGCGGGAGAGTGTATTATATTGAATTTTATGAATGTTTTGCATTCATCCGCGAGAAAGATGAATTTATAGGACTCAATGACTCATTCTTCTTTACATTATCACCTTTGAACCTGCATTTTCAAATTATATCTACCAGATTCCCTGGAAAACGTGGCAAGTTATGGATGATAATAGGGAGATAATAGCCCAATTCCGTGGACGCTGCTCCTTTCTAATTGATGTCGAAAATATTTTTCTAATATTTTGGATTTTAGCGAAAATCTGTTCGTAAAAACCTGTCAGAATTGTTTTCGTGAGGCCCCACAAAAGCACATCACCAACTTTTACTGCTTTAAGTGCATTTCGTAGGCCAATAAACAGGACAATCAAGAACATTAATAAATCTAAAAGTTGGTCTTTAAATGGAACAGAAACATCTTCTTCCAGACTTCCACCATTAATTTGAGTTATGACTAGTTACTTATGCCCCCACGGCATATCTCCAAGTGGTAAAAGGGGAGGGTGGAGAAATCCAGCTTTGTTTGAGGCTGCTGCATCAATGGTTCGAATCCTGAAATATGAATTTGGGTAAGTGCAAGTTTACAAGCAGTCTTCCATCCTGTACCCTTGGAGGCATAACCTTCGATTTACCTCCCTCACGATACTCCAGAGCAGGGGCGGTGGGGCATCCTTAAGGTTGGGGTTCAACCTTTTTTTTTTTTTACTAGTTACTTAAACTAGAGTAGACGGTTCTGGATATGATTGGAGAAGAAAGTTAAAATCTTATCAGTTAATTGTCACGTTCAATATTGTTGGATACACCATATCAAGCATACCCAAAAGGTTTAATTGTGGATTTGTAATTGGATATAGATGATGTGATATGTGGTTCAAAACTTAAAACTACATATATTTTATAAGGATTTCTTATTTACCTTTACTTAAATGTCACCCATTTTATTGAACTGGATTAGTACCTGTAACATCTTTTAGAAGTCTAACCTCAATTATATTACTTGCTGTGGCAGAAGTGAAAGGAAAATCTACAATAACCTAGTTTGAGGCACATTGATGTCGAGCACCAGTGGTCTAGTGGTAGAATAGTACCCTGCCACGATACAGACCCGGGTAGCATTCCCGGCTGGTGCATACCTTTTTTCCCTTTGCCGTACAACTGATTACTTACTTTTCTAGTCTAATAAGAAAACTCTAAAAATGTTTAACTCAATTAAAAGTTTAAAAGAAACTCTGAACTCCCGTGGTGAAGCATGAGATTAATTATGAGTTATAACCAACTGTAAATGTACGAATGAACAAGTTTCCCCCTTTTTTCGAGTTCTATACGAATAGTTAATTTTAATTAAGAATTCTCCTTGATTTGTTTTTATCAGCATGAGAAGTTTTTATTTTTGATTCTCAAAGATGACTATTATTCAGTAATTTTACGACTTAGTATTTTTTATTAAAAAAATGAACTTAATCGGTACATGAGAATGTGCTTAAACTTTGTTTCTATTTTAAAAAAAAAAATTCAACTTGGACCCTATATCCCACTTTGTCGAGATATTCATATGTTTCATTCAAGAAGTTTGGAATAGACGTAGGGTTTAATCACTTAGTATCAC